TTTCATTTCTTAAGTGCTGTTGCCATTTCTTTACTTAGTATTTTGGGTACTGGGAGACAGAGTCAAAACACAGCTACTCTATTATAAACTCCCATGAAAATAGATCACTATGAAAATTCTAGTGTATCTATTATATTTCCCATCTGTAGTCTGTGGGTCTTCCCTGCTTTCAACACTAGACCAGGGACAGCACTGAAACAGCAATCTTTCTTAGTGAAGTAAAGCTGCAGAAACATCAACCACATTTCAAAATTCATATGCCATCCTTCTTTCTGCTGTAAGTTTCCTCAGGGGATGATGGGTGATAGGTGCCCTTTCCCAGTGGCATGAATAGAAAAAATGATTCCTACCTGGCGTGTATGTACAATGACTTCCCCTGCTCCAGAAAGAAAAGGGTGTGGGAGCTGTACATAGGCCTGCGCCCTGTTCCAAGAAATCACCAGCTACATATCTGTTTGTTGGCTTCCTCCATTTTGTTACAAGTATTATCAGGATAATCTGGTTTAGCTGAATCTCAGAGCAAACTTTCTTCAAGTTCTCTATCTTCATTGTAATTGTAATTGTAATACTTTCAAATCAGTTTGTACTGCTGTTGTCTTTGTCTGCCCTTATCTCTGCTTCGCAAGGAAGTTTTGTTTGCCAACTTGAGGTAGTTTTAATGACTGTTGTGTATTTATTAAACTTCTCTAAGAAATAGTGTTAGAGCCAGTGTTTTTACTTTTATCCATGTCTAAAGTCAAATGTGTGTTTAAATGGTAGGGTTAGAGCTGCTATAATTCTGTGCAAAGTCATCTACTCTTTATCCTTTCTTATAATTTGGTGTTTACTTGGACTTTCTAGAAAATAAAGTGACTGCTGTGTTTGTAAACAGTCATTAGTTGATTATGATGGACTTTCACCTTAATAACAATAACGTGTGTGTTTTGTTCATTTGTTTTCAGTCCCCTCTCACTCTTTGTTGATCCCACTTGAGGGTTTCCTGGCAAAGATACTGGATTTGCCATTTCCTAATCCAGCTCATTTTACAGATGAGGAAACTGAAGCAAACAGGGTGAAGTGACTTGCCCAGGGTAACACAGCTAGGAAGTGTCTGAGGCCAGTTTTGAACTTTGGAAGATGAGTCTTCCTTACTCCTGACCCGTGGAACTCTAGCTACTGTCCCACCTAGCTATTACTTATACAGTAGCTTCTATGGGTTAAGCGTTGTGCTAAACACTTTACAAATGTTATCTCATGTGATCTTTACAACAACCCTGGGAGGTAGATACTATTATTATCCCCATTTTAATGTTGAGGAAACTGAGTTAACTGTGCCATAGAGTTAATCTAAAACAATTCATTTTACATATAGAGCCAGATATTACAAAAGCAATTGAGGGAGAAAGTAATTGCATTATTAGACTTTGATTAAGAAGGAGGGGAAAGCTGGGCATATTTTGATGTGATTTTAGAGGGTAGATAGATATTAAAGGAATCAGAAAAGAGTTAGGTGGCATCATTTGGAGTAATATTCACATGGTCCGAATAGAATCCTGAGACATAAACAGAAATAATTAAAATGGCAAAGAAAAGGGAAAGCTCTCTGAAGAGATCAAAGTAAAAAGATAAGGAAGTCATTGACCAACTGGAATTTAAAATGAACATGTACTGTAATTGATCATGACTAGGAAAGTATTTATAGTCCTCTAATAACAAGATCAGACTCTTAGAGACAGGCTAAAGAGAACAAGATTATTTTTTCTGGATATATTTGAGAAAAAAGAATGATCAGAGAGTGTGTGTCAGATGGTTAGGATGGATGAAATAAAATTGATAAGCAAAGGAAATTTAGCTAAATTTAGATGTAGAAGGGACCTTGGAGATCATCTAGTGTGACCCCCTTCAGTTTACAGATTAGAAAGATATGTGACTTAAACAGCAAAGCTAGGATTTGAACCTGGGTCCTCTGACTTCAAATCCAGTGCATTTTCTGCTATGTTGTCTTCTGAGGAGAATGGTCTTTAGACTAGAAAGGAGAGAATAAAAATACTTAATAGGGAGTTGGAACTCAAGATTAGTAAGGCCTTGTATGAGCTTCTGGCTGTGCCATTTTTTCAAGCCCCTAACCTCCATCACATGACATCACAGGATAGCAAAAAACATAATGTATGTAATTGCTGAGTAGTGTTATATTTGAAGGAGAGATATCGTAGGACTGTAGAAAAGGAAATATTTCCCCAGTTTCTAAAAAAGGAAGAGAGTGAAGTCTGCAAACTGAAACCAGTGAGGTTGATGCTAATTCCTGAAAAACTAGGATGTGTTATCAAAAGTAAGGTTAGAAAGGGAAGTGGTGATGACTTAAGAGCTAGCATGGTTTCTTACGATGAGATCTTAAGATGAAATCGTACCAGACACATCTCATTTCTTTTCTTGTCAGGTTTTACTAGACTGGTCAATCACAGAAATGAGGTAGATACAGTTTAACTTAGATTTTTACAAAGGTTTAGACAGTCTTTCATGCTGTACTTGTAGGCAAAATGGGGAGATGAAGGTAGATAATAGAATAGTTAGGGGAATCCAGCACTGACTGAATCCATCTCAGATCCAAAGAATAATAATCAATGACTGAATATAACTTACAATTCAACATTTTTATTAATGACATGGATGAAAGCATAAATGGCATGCTTTTTCTATTTGAAGATGACACAGCTAGGGCTCAGGAGTTGGAGGTCTAATAACACGGGATGAGAGTTAGGATATGAAAAGTCTTTTATAGGCTAGAATCCTAGGCCGAATCAAATCAAATGACATTTAATAGAGATATTTTGTGAAGTCTCACACCTGGGTTCCCAGAGTCAACTTTGCAAGTACAGGATGAGAGCCTGAGTAGAAGCATTTCATCTGGAAGAGATTTGGGGGTTTTAGTAGATTTCAAACTCAGTGTGAATTAGTGGTGTGAAATGGTAGCTCTTAGAATACATTAAAATGAGCATAATATTCAGAATAAGGGAGCTTATAGTCCTGCTTGAATTTTGCCTGTGTGTGAGACCACATCAGTCATGTTACGTTTAGCTTTGGGTGCCACATCTTAGGAAAGATTTTGACATGCTGGAACATGGCAGCCAGGATGGTAAAGGACTGAAGGCCATGCCCTATGAGGATCAAGTGAAAAAGCTAGGAGCACTCAGCCTAGAGAATAAAAGATGTCCAGGCCATGGTGGGGAAGGTGGGGCATTGGGGAAGGCTGAAGAAGGAAGGTTTGATGGAAGGTAGGGTAGGGATGATATTTGTTCTGACTGGTCCAGTGGGCAGGAATAAAAGGTGGAAATTGAGGGGAGGTAGATTTTTGTTCAGTATAAGGAAAACACTTCCCATTAATTAGAACTGTCTGTAAGTTGATTCTAGAGAAGGAAATGACGAACCACTTCAGTGTCTCTGTCAAGAAAATCCCAAATGGGGTCACGAAGAGATGGACATGAATGAAAAAACAATTGAACAACAAAGACAAGTTGACTGCCTCTCAGGTTGAGGCTGGCTGTAAGCTAAAGGATGTTGTAAAGAGTATTCCTATTTATGTGCTGGTTGAGCTAAGTTATCTCAGTAATGTGATACTTTCCAAATCTAAAAGTTTATGATTCTAGAAAATATTGTTCAGTTTCCCATATAAAGGATAGAGTGTTGAGACAAAAAGTCTGGATCACTTCTTTATATTAAAACAGTATTTTTAGGGGAAATACTGGGGATGAAACTTTCATGTACAAGCCACATTTCAGAAGCTTTTTTTCTTCCTTAGGGTTTCTAGGTGTATATGGTCTCAGGAGACAGTGAGGTTCTCAGCACTGAAGGGCTTCAAGTAGTGGTTGTATGACCACTCATTGGCACTGTGGTAGAGGGGAATCTTGTTCAGGTACCAGTTGGACTAAATTTCTAAGGTTCCATCCAATTTTGAGATTATATAAATCTATGAAGTACTAGTCGTTTTCCCATGGACTTCTGAAGATTTCTAGCATATTGGTTTCTGTCTTTAATTATATTACTTATATTTACTAATTGTCTTTCCAAAAAAACCAGAGGCACCCTTAATATAACACTTTAGTAATCTGGTAGTAGTAGTTTCTTTATAGTATAGGTTTCTCTTCTCCATTGAGGCAACTACCCCCCCCCCCCAAAATACATTGCTTTGCCAAGTCTAAATGTCAGTAGAAAACTTCTAGGTGCTACTAATAATCTCCTGTCTGTACCCCTGCCTATTCTTATAAAATTTAATTTCTGTGACTATTTTAAAGTTTGTGTTCTTAATGCATTTTCATGTTTAACTTTCTAAAACATTTGAACATTTTTAAGCTTGATAATAATTGGCCTAGGCTTTTGCCTGACGTAAACCAGTATTTAGATTCCCCTTTCTACCACCTATGCTATTAGAATTTCAAAAATATAGAATTTATAAGTTCTGCAGCCCCTTTGAAGAAGGGATGTGATCTAGTTATGGATAAAAGTAGAAGGAAAGATGTTTCAAAGAAATGTGAAAAACTTTGCAACTGTATTATTTTTCATAGGTAAAAATTTAATGTTGTCTGTGCTAAATTTCTCTTGCTTAACAATACAAAAAATAGAATTTTGCTTATGGCTAATGGCAGGATTTGTTCCACGTTTGCTAATATAATTTGTGGTTCTAGTTCCCTTTTGCTGTAAGGTTTTGGATTTTTACTCCATATATAAAGAGAAAAGGCTAATTTTTAAAATATTGGTGGTGTTTGCTATTTGGATTATTAGATTGTTAAATTTGAATACATTAGGAAATACATTACATTAGCCATGACAGTTTACAAAAAGTCTTTATCTTAAATGCAAAATATCTATAAAAGGACAGTGGTAATCTTGACTAATTTCTGGACTTGCTTTATATTATAATCCTTACTATTATGGAAAAGTTAAGCTGAAACATCTCAGTGCATTATAGCATTACAATGGACTTTATGTATACATGGTGACATTGTCTTTTTCTCCCCTTTTTTTAGATTCTGTCAGCTTTCAAGAGCAAATGTGCCCTATAACTCATGGAAGAAAAACTACAAGTCAAGACATCTTTGGGTTCCAAGTTGCCGAAATATGGAGCAAAATCTATAGTCGGCACCCTGCAATCAGTACCAAATGGGACAGCTGTTAATACATCAGGGAATTCTACGAGTAGCAGTGGCAAAAATTTCGTCAAGCACAATGGCTCTATTAGTATGTCTTCCTATTCTTTTAACTGGAGAAAGTCAAATAAATACCAACTCAATGACCAAAGTCCTAGGGATTCTCACTCTACCCATAATTCATGTGGCAAATTAGGTGACCCTGAAAAACAGGTTAATGCTCAAGAAACATTTGGTAAAAGTGGATTAAAGAGGGATTTGAAGAGTGTTTCATTACTTACATCAAAGATAGCAAAGCCATCCAATATGTTTGTTTCGTCTTCAGAGGAGTTAAACCAAAAGACTTTGTGTGGACTGTCTAGTTCCAGTAAATTCCCCAAAGCATCGTTATTAGGAAGGACTTCATACTCTTCACTTAGTGCTCCAAAGTCACAGTTAAATGGGTTTTATGGAAATAGATCAAATATAAGTATGCAGAGGCCTAGAGCAAACTCCTGTACCACGAGAAACAGTTCTGGAGAAAGTTTGGCACAGTCCCCAGACAACATTAAATCTTTTACCTGTGAAAAAATAGTGCGGTCACAGAGCTTTTCACATTCCATCCAGAAGTCTTTCCTTCCACTTTCATCCATAACTAGATCACATTCCTTCAACAGGGCTGCAGATCTTGCAGGGCCTTATCAAAACCAACAGTTGTCCATTAGAGTGCCTCCAAGGTCAAGTATGCAGTCAAAAAATGTAAGATCAGAGGTTCTCAATAGAAATGAACATTTAGCATTTGGATTTAATAGGCCCTATGCTGCTTTTTCAGGCTCAGGTTTAAAGAAGTCGGCTTTACCAAATGGCTCAGGGGTGTCATCTTTTGATTATAGGCTGGGTCGAACCTCTTTACTGAGCCCGAACAGACCACAGTTTACTGGAAAGATTATAGTGGATGATAATAAAAATTCAGCTGCTGTCAAATGTGTATTGGAGGACTCCTCAGTTTTGGGTAATGATGGAGCTACTGAGAAGGAAGAAGACTCGATAGAAAATTATAGTTCTAGAACAGAAAGTAGCCACGGCATAAATGATAACGTGTTGGAGGTTGATATAAAAGTCAGATACCTGAGTGATGATGTGGATGAAATATCCCTTTCATCTTTATCTTCTTCTGATAAGAATGATTTGAGTGAAGACTTTAGTGATGATTTTGTAGATATAGAAGACTCAAACAGGACTCGGGTAACACCAGAGGAAGTCTCACTCAAAGAGGAAAATCTTGGAAGTGTTCCGCTAGTGGATCCATTTGATTCACTGAAAGAAAGTGAAAAACCTTTCAGTAAAACTGATGAATGGATTGATATCAGTGTTCCAGGTAAGTATCTTCCTTTTGTCCTGTCTAGAAAGTTTTATGTTAGGTGTTTTAATAGCCAAATTGCTTATAAGCACAGTCTTTAGTAAATAAAGGGCTTAGACAGATTTAGCACCTTTTGTAGAAATGTGTAGTTGTTCCCACTGCAGCCATGTTTAGATCTCTATACAGTCTGTTAAGGAGGGAATGCTTTATGGGTTGCTCTCCAAAGTAATCTTACAATCTTTATAGAATATAAAAATCTCTAACTACTTTATTTGGTGCTTTATTATTATGCCTGTTGAAGTGTTACTGATATCCTGTTTGATTTATTTCCCTTTATTTGCCACCTTAGGCAGCTAGGTGGAACAATGGATAGAGGTCTTGAGCCTAGAGTCAGGGAGACTTGTCTTCCTGAGTTCAAATCCAACTTCAGCCACTTACTAGCTGGGTAACCCTGGGCAAGTCACGGAACCTTGTTTACCTCAGTTTCCTCATCTGTAAAATGAGCTGGACAAGTAGATGGCAAACCACTTCAGTATCTTTGCCAAGAAAATTCTAAATTGGGTGACAAAGGGTTGGACATGACTGAACAATTTGTCACATATACTTCTTGTTTAAAAAAAATATTATTCATTTGTTTTTAACATTCTTTAAAAAAAGTTTTTTGAGTTCCAAATTCTCTCCGTCCTCTTCAGTGGTCCCCACCCCCCTTGAGAAGGTAAGCAGTATATGTGAAATCATGCAAAACATATTTCCATATTAGCCATGTTGCAAAAAAAAAAAAGCAAGAAAAATCAAGTGAAAAAATTACACTTCAGTTTGCACTCAGAAAGTTCATCAGTTCTCTCTTTGAAGGTAGATAGCATTTTTTATCTTGAGTCCTTTGGAATTGCCTTGGATCATTGTGTTGACATCAGAGTAGGTAAGTCTTTCACAGTTAATCATTGTTACAAAATTGTTGTTACTGTGTACGATGATCTCCTTCACTTGATGAGTGATGTTTACAATGATCTGCTCACTTTACTCTGCGTCAGTTCATATAGGTCTTCCTGGTTTTTCTGAAACCATACCCTTTGTCGTTTCTTACAATGCAGTAGTATCCCATTATATTCGTATACCACAACTTGTTCAGTCATTCCTCAGTTTATGGGTATCCCCACAATTTTCAATTCTTTGCTGCCATAAAAAGCTGCTGTAAATATTTTCATCCATATAGATCCTTTTCCTTTTTCTTTAATTTCTTTGGGATATAGACCTAGTAGTGATATTGTTGGGTCAAAGGATATACACCGTTTTATAGTCCTTTGGGCATGATTCCAAACTTTTCTTGAGAATGGTTGGACCAGTTCACAACTCCCACATATTCTTCCAAACTTTAGAAAATCCTTTTTTAAAGGATTTTATTGCACAAATAAATAGTAATATTTCGAGGGATGTTAGGATTTCAAAAGGGAAATTTTATTCTTTATGATATACAACTACAAGATAAGATAAATGGAAAGACTGTAGAATTTTAGAGCTGAAAAAGAACCTTAAATTATGCAGCATATTCCCTTTTTTTGCATATGAGGAGACTTTAGAACCCTAAAGGTCAAGTAACTTGGTCATTGTCGTACAACTAGTTAATGGCAGATTTGAATCTCGAGCCCAGAGTCTCTTGTCTCTTATTCTAATACGTAAGTCAGTACATGAGAGCACATGCTCCACTGATACAATCTTAAAAAGCCCTTTTGGCCAACAAAATAGTCCACAAAATGAGTCATTTTGTCCTCTGCATAATCGTATGTTTCTATAACCTCTCTTTTAAGTGTTGTATTGCTTAGAGCCATAGGATTTAGAGTTGGAAGGGACTTAGAGGCTCTCTAGGCCACCCCCTCATTTGATAAATGAAGTAAGTGAGACCCAGAAAGATAAGGTGACTTACCTTTGATCACACAGGACAGAGATTTGAACCCAGGGCCTCTGGTACCAAATCCATCGTTCTTACTCACTGTACGTGTAGGTTGCCTTCATATTTTCGTTAGGAGGAGACCTGGGATGGGGAGGTTTGGGGTCAGTGTAGGAGGCAAGGTAGAGGGAGAGAAGGATTGAGTGGGATGATGCCTATATGCATCATACAGAAACAAAAGTCGGGGAGGATTTTCGATTCCATACAATTCAGCAAACTTTATTAACCATCTTCTCTATGTTATACATGCTTTTGTAGTAGGGTTCTGTTTCTGTCTCAGTTTCTGTTGCTTCTTTGGGCTAGTAGTTATAGCAAGGCCCACCAACTGTAACATGTTTAATGTAGGAGCGACTGATAAAGTCTCTAAACCAGGCTGTCTATTCCTGCTTCAGTGGCAATGGCAGTCTCAACCACGTGACTGGATGCTTGCAGTACCAGGGCTTCTAAATGTCTGTTACACTCTGTGGAAAGATGTGAGAATGTAATGGGATATAGAGGGGTAAGCCAAAAGAAAATCTGGGGTGAGATTAAGGAGAAATGTTGAGTTTGAGGTGCCTGTGAAACATATAGTTAGAGATGCTTGACAGATAGGTAGTACTGCAGAACTGGAGCTGAGAAGGGAGACAGAGGCTGAATGTATGGATCTGGGAGTTGAATGCATAGAGGCCCTGGTTAGACTAATTGGAACAGATGAGCTTGTCTAGACCAGGGGTTCTTAACATTTTTTTGTTTCATACACCCCTTTGGCAGTCTGGTTGGACTCCTCAGAATAATGTTTTTAAATAATAGGAGAAAATGATAAATTTCACTTAGAGGTTAGTGAAAATAAAGATATAATTTTTGCTTTCCAAGTTCAGTGACTCCCTGAAATCTATACCCAGGTTAAGAACCTCTGAATTAGAGAGAGAGATTAAAGAGAGCAATGCACCCAGAATAGAGAGCCCTTATGTACATTGATACCTTTTAGCCTTACGCCAGATTTAATCAAAACCAATCAGTGCTTTTGAAAAAAAAAGTTCTTTTTGTACAAGATTGACAAATATGAAATACCAGGTGGTTGTTTTGAAATGGACCATATCTTTTTTTGTCTGTTAGATTGGCATTTAAAAAGAGAAGTTTTATTTGTAGTGCTTAAATATTCAGAGTAGCCAATGAAAAGTTTTTCTTTACACCGTGTAGCCTAGCACTTATTGTACTAGTAATGTTGTTGTCCCTTGCGTATTTAATTTCTTATTTTTATTTCTGTTTTGCTTACTTGTAGACATTTGGCAGTAGAAATTATCTTCTTAGAGTACCGGTATGAGCCCTTGTACTGGCAAATGAATATATAGCCATAAGGAAATAAGAATTTCATATTATCAAGTATTGTTAGTGATTTTGAGGGTTGCTTCTTTTAAGTCTTCAGAATGTGCCAGTGGAGTGTTGTAACCTAGGCTTGACGATACCTGTATACAAGAGAATTCTTTCCTCAAAGTTATTTTTGTGCTTTGTTGGTAGAACTGGTGACTTGTGACAGTTACTGATCCTAAGGGCTCTTAAATTGACTGAAGATGCTGTTAAAATTCGTGGCAATTTGAGGACCCTTCAAGAATGGCAGTAGTCATAGTGCAAAGTTCATAGATATTTAGACAATAAAGCAAAGTGCTTCTGATGTTTGGGTGATTTTTCAATCTTGAGTGTCTCTAGCCATCAGTTGAAAGTTAATGTTTTTAGATAGTATACTGTTAGGAGAATTTTAGACTTTTATATACATTATTAAGTAAGTGAATAGAATTAAGTTGTGTCTTTTTCTGTTAGGACAGAAGATAGGTATTTTTTAAAAATCTGTCAAGAGACATTGCTTATTATTATTATTCTTATCATTTATTTATTTATTTATTTATTTGCTCAGAATTTGAAAAGTGCTATGGTCCTGAATTGAGTTCAGTCAATTTTTGCTAAAACCCACCAAATTACTAGAGTTTGTTTGTTAAAACCTGAGAAAATCTTTAATTATAATACTGTGTTGTGAATTAATGCCTTTTTTCTTCTTTTTTAATTAGTAGAAGACAAGAATGAATGCACTAAGCGTGCCACGGAGAATAATCTGATTTCTCCAGATATGGATTACAGAGCTGGTTCTTCATTTGAACTCTCACCATCTGATAGCTCTGATGGAACATACATGTGGGATGAAGAGGGTTTGGAGCCCATTGGAAGTGTCCATCCATGTGGAAGTTATGAGTCTTCAGAAATGAACAGCATAGTATGTATGGATTTGTACAACTTTTTTGGTGAATCTAGAAAGATAAGAAATACTCATTTTTTTTGAATTGGTGTGTGAATTATTTATGTAATGTAACTGACATGTTAGAGGTAGAGGAGCAGTGCAGAACAAGGCAAAGACATGCATGTCTTCATGCAGTGTGCAGTGCATGAGTCCTTTTGGTGTTTTAGCCTTTGTACCATCTTGGTAGCTTATGTTTTGGACTTGCTACTTCAGTATTTTGATAGTTTGTCATCCTGTGTGATTCTTGTGCAGGTCCTTACATAAATCTTTCAAGAAACTAGAGGTCTTCTTATAGGTCTTCTGATATTTCATGCTCTTACTTCATGATTGGCTCATCTTCTTCTCCTTTCATACATGGACTTGATGATGTCATTGTATTTTTATTAATAAAATAATATTACTTGTGTTTTTACCAGCATGTTAGGTAGCAGTCACAATTTTTCATTGTTAAACAACATGACATCACAGAAATGCAAAGCAGTATAATTCTCTGTGGAAATGGTTATGATTTAAATAGCTCAATATATTTAGATTTGTAGTGGTCTTGAAATGATGACCCTCATTTAAAAATCACAGTTTGTTATTGTAGGAGATGTTTGATATTCCAACAGTCTCTTCAAATGCTAAGTGAGATTAAATTATAATTTTAGATGTGTTTCATTACTATTCTCTGGGTACTGGGAATTAAAAAAAAATTATTTTGCTGTCTTGGTCTGCTCTCTAGCAGAGAATTTACTAAGGAGCTATCCCTTGGCAGTCAGCAGGAGAAACCAAATGAATGAACAATGTCTATTGCCCACGTTATGACATGTAGTTAAGATAAAAAACCTGACAGGCCTGCCATCGGTAAGTGGGCCCAGAATCAAGCAGGAAGAGGAGAGTAAGTTGGCTTGCCTTTAGGAAATTGAAAATTTTTTTTTTTAATGATCCCAAACTTCTCCCAGAAACAGATTCCTGTGTTCTTAATACTAACATTTTACCAAATACAGTCTGTGGAATTAAAAATGAGTGTACACAGGGTAATGGAGAGGTATGTGGTAGATATGAGTAGGCTTCAACATAAAACTTATGAGGAACTTTCAAGAGGAACTAGAGTCAAAGATATCATTAGAGAAATGTAATAAGGCCACAAGAAGGTGGGTTGATCATGTGTCAGGAATGAGGGAGGATAGGTGGACAGCTCAAGTGCTCCACAGATATCTTTGTGATAACAGGAGAAAGTGAGGAAAGGCCCCAGCCTTTTGGAAGACCCCTTCTGGTGAATTCTGGGAGGGCATAGACAAGAATGGAGGTAAAAACCAAATTGATTGGATTGTAGATGCTTTGTTTATGACATCTATTTTTTTAATATATGAGGCAGTTGGGGTTAAGTAACATGACGTTACAGAAATGCAAAGCAGTATAGTTCTCTCTGGAAATGGTTATAATTTAAATAGCTCAGAGTCACACAGCTAGTGAGTGTTTTGTGTCTGAGGCCAGATTTGAACTCAGGTCCTCCTGACTTCAGGGCCAGTGCTCTATCTACTGAGCCACCTAGCTGCCCCAGTTTATGACATCTTGCAGTGACTACCTTTGCCTAAAGAAAATTGAGGATCTTGTGGCATCCTTCTTAGTACTTTAAGCCCAGGTAGCCAGGTTGCAAAACAGACTACTCTATAGACCATGCAGGTTGGACAGTTGTAGAAGTTGGAGGTGGAATGGAGGGCCTATATAAACATGTGAGATCATATGATGATGTTGAAAGAGGGAAGTAATTGCTCTAGCAGCAACTGGAGTAATCTCTCTCACCCTCAGTTTGTTTCATTAACAACCCCCCAGATCTGTTTATTGGGTACTGGAAGTGTTGCCGGGATTCCTGGTCTAGGTCATCTCATTCTGCATTTCCTACCTCAAGATTTTCCTACAGATTGATCAACAGATTAAAGTTCTATTTCTCAGGCTGGGTGACATATAGACTGCAGCCTACATGGCAGAAGGCAGTCCTCTACTGAGGAAAACTAAAGCCTCAGAGGATTTTCAGTAATTCTTTTTTTCTTTTTCTTTTTTTTTTTTTTCAGTAACTTCTTATCCACTGATACTACTCCCTGACCACTTCAGTAGGGCAGGAGGCTTGGGGTAGACTTGTATCAGCTATCTTTCAGGGCCTCAGAATGCACCTGGCCTGGAATTAAATCACACTGCCGGACCCCTCTTCATTCTTCAGCACAAGAGTGAACTTTTTCATGATCAGTAGCCTAAAAACCTTCTGCTTAGAAGTCTAAGAGGAGGGGTATCTATTGATGGAATTGGTTCACTGGCCCCATAATGGTAATACCTGACATTTCTGAAGTACTCTGAGATTCGCAAAACATTCTCATAGCCCTGGATCTAGAGCTGAGGAGATCTCCAAGACCATTGATTATTATCCCCTATCCCCCCCACCATCTTGTACTCTGCATACAGTTATGGTCCTAACAACAACTCTTTGAGGCAGGTATGACAGGTATGATGATTACCATTTTACAGATGATAAAAGGGAGGCTGAGGTACTCCAGACCTCTCAGAAGAGGAGTTATTTTAATTTCCTAAATAAGTTTGCCTTCCATTGTGTAGGATATAGTTCGCTGCATCAACTGACTTGAAAAGCAGGCCAAATGAAATTCCACAGTGGGCCAATTGGTGGGGAAATCCTTGAGTGAAAAACTTAGAATAATGTGACTTAGGTTAGTAATTCCACAAGCTTCTCACTATAAGCAAAAGATGCATTTTGGGGCACTTAATGGCTTAAACTGAGGGTGGGAGAGCACATTCTAACTGCTGTTGGAGCCGTTGCTTTGTTACTTTAAATATTACTATGTGATCTTAAAAGGTTCTATGAACTTGAGAATTACATGTGAAATAAAGTATTAAACCTAAAGCTAAAATTAATTTCTTATTTTTATGTAGTAGTGTACATTTATTTTGACAACTTTTTTTTTACAACAAATTGTGAAATGTAAGTCTTGGCTACATTTAAATTCTGTTCATTGTCATGGTGGATTTTTTAATGAGAAATCCCTAGTGAGATGGCATTTCATTCTGATTTATTCTGTTCTTAAACTGACAGCTGATTACAAAAGGGTAGCATCATTTACGACACTGATTTACTTCTTTCTGCATCATACTCACATTCCAGATGTGACATCGCTAGTACAGAGTAAAAGGAAGGGACAGAGATTTGGACTATAAATTGATTTCTCCTAATATAACCTGCCATTATGTTTATTCTTTTTTAAAAGTTGCAGAATACTGCTAACTGATAAGTTAACTAAAGTCCCTCAGTCTTTTTCACACGAATTTCTAGTAAGCCAGTTCTACTTCATTCTTTGTTTATGGTGTTGAATTTTCCATCAAAGTACAAATCTTCACCTTTATTCCTGCTCAAAATTACTGAAATCCTTTTGAATTATGATTGTGTCATCTAACATATTAGCTGTCTCTTCTAGCTTTGTGTCATCTACGAGTTTATTAAGCATATCTTCTATTTCTTTATTGAAGTCCATGATAAAAATGAAACAGAACTGGGGACAGAACTCTTTTTCATTCCATAGCTGGAGAACTGCCTACAACTTGACATCAGTAAATTAATCAATACACTTTGGGGGTAATGTAATACTCCACTTAATTGTACTTTTATCTAGCCTATATTTTTTCAGTATGTTCATAGAGACAATAATAGGGAAGTTTGAAGGTGGGGTAGGGTTTGGGAGGAAAGATGAGTTTAGTCTAGAATATGCTGAGTTTAATATGTTACATTACTGGACAACCAGTTCGAGATGTCACAAAGGCAGTTGGAGATGTGAGACTTCAGGTCAGCTGAGAGGTTAGGGCTAGATAAGTAGATTTTAGATAGCCTTCTCAAGGAGTTTAGCCACAAAAGACAGGAGAGTGGGGATGGCTGGACCAAGTGATGGTTTTTTGGATATGATAGAGAAGTTGGCATGTCAGTAGGCAGTACACAAGGAGCCAACAGACAGGGAGAGATTGAAGATAAGTCAGAAAGTGGAAATGATCTGCTGGAGAAGATGGGATGGCCTTAAGAAGGAGAAGGGCCATTTCATCTTGTGAGATGGGGGTTAAGGAGTAGGTAGAGACAGAAGGCAACTCAGTGATGTGAGAATAGAGGAGGGAAGATGGAGGTATAGGCCTCAGTTTTTTCAGTAAAATATGAGGCAGGGTTCTCAGCTGGGTGGGGGAAGTCTTGGGAATTTTAAGGAAGAAGGAAAAAGGTTTGGAAGAGCTGCTTTGGTGAATGAGGAGGTATAAAGGTGAGGTCTCAGTTGAAGTTTTGTAAGATGAATTTGTAGTGGACCTAGTCAGCATGGTTGTATTTTCCCTCCATTCAGCATCACTATGTAGAAGTGAAGGCAACAGGAATGGTGGGAATGATCCAAGGCTTAAAGTTAGCATGCATGATTGGCAATATGTTAAAGGGATGAGGAACACAAGAGAAGAAGACAGTATAGAGTTAAATTAGTTCATGAAGGGGTCAAGATGGGAAAGGATGATGGCGTGGGAGAGAACTGAGGGATCAAGGGATTGGAGATTACAGTCTAGACAAAGAGCAGGGTTTGGTAATGGAAGGCAGAGAGAGAGACAGAGTGGAATGCCAATAGATTATGATCAGATAAGGGAATTTTAGAGTTCATGAATGTACAAATGATGAATTTGTGGGTGATGGCAAGATCAAGGGTATGACTATCCTTGTGTATGACTGAGGTGGGCTGGAAGAATAAGATATGGAGAGTGAGTAAATTGAGGAACTAGGAAGTTTGAGGCAGTAACATTGTGTACCAAAATCCTCTCATATGAAGATAGGAGTTAGGGAGGAGAGAAAGATTGTGAGCCAGATGCTGAACTCACTGAGTAAGAGAGGTATATCATGGAGCTTTGTAGACAACAACTTCCTAGATTTTGACTGGGTGATACAGAGAGTCAAACAGTGGTGAAAATGATAA